GCACACACACACACACACACACACACACACACACACACACACACACACACACACACACACATATATATATATATATATATATATATATATATATGCAAGCTATATGCACATACTATTATATACAATGATACAAAGATGACCACCAACGTCTCCACATAAAACCCTCCCATACCATCTTTGAATGAATTATAATACTCTCTCCCCACATCTTCAGGCCCCGCTCCTTCGGGATGAAACAAGTGAAAGAAATGATACCCCATCACGCCTATGTACGCAATTGCAGCCAAAGTGGCCACATAGCCTGTGATCGTCCCAATTAATCCGCTCCATGTCCAGCTACTGGGCTTGGCTTCTAATTTCTTTTTCGTGTTGTTACCTGATTTTCCGGTACCTTTTGCATGTTTATCTATCTTTGTGCTACTATCATTCGTTTCTGTAGCAACTTCGCTTGAGATTGTTGTCGTTTCATTCTTCTTCCTATTCCTAAGGCCGTCTTTGTCTGTGCTTGAGTGTTTTGATGATTGCTCGGTAGTGTGTTTCTTAGAGGCACCGTCGATAGCTGAGGGGATCTTGGCTGCTTTGGTCATACTGCTTGCATATATGTAGAGCTATTCGAAAGAGTGTATGTTGGTAGAAACAGTTGAATGAATATATGTTGCTATGTAAATATTTAGATGAATTTAGTGGATTGTGGAATGTAAATATATAAAAAAATTAATTCGCACTTTTGACAGTGTCAACTGTCAAGTGCAAAATGAAGTGTCTAAATAGATGCCAAGAGATATCCAACTTTTTTTTCTCGTATATTTTATGGAAATAAACACATTGCGGACAGTCAGTGGGACTGTGGGTGGGTCCTTAAAAAAAGTGGAAGGCGGGACACTCTCACACAGCCCTAATGAATAACTATAAGTCCCCGTAGCCTTCTTCAGTATATTTCTTCAGTATATTGAAACACTAAATAAATAGAACTTACATCGGACGTATGCACACAATAGTGCATGACCACCATAAAGGCATAGACTACACCCTTGTCTATTAAACACACTATCTTATATTGTACATAATCTCCTATCAAACTTGGGTGGATACCAACAAATATGGCGTTGAACATGTCTTTGATCAGAAACTCACTTCGCACGGGCAAGTTGTGTGCCTCTCACAGAACCATAGCTGCTGTCAGTCCTGCGCGTTCGTATCAGAAAAACTTGCACCCGCGTACATATCCCGTGCAAGTTGTGATGACAGATGGCTCTACCTTCACAATCCGAAGCTCCCTGAATGTGGGAACCTTCCAGCTCAATGAAGGTATGAGGATGTGTGTGTGTGTGTGTGTGTGTGTGTGTGTGTGTGTGAATAGGATCAATGCACATATGTCGATGAGTGTGTGTGCTCCATATTTATGTATTGCACATGTGTCGATGAGTGTGTATGCTCTATATTTATGTAAGCTGAAATTAGTTACACAGACTCGTAGATATTTGTGAGATTAATGTAACAGTAAGTTATGTGTTAGGATTCACGTTCAAGTGGCCATATTGGATGGCTCTCCGTTTACGATAAGAAGCTCGCTATATGTGAAATACTTCTAACAGAATGAATATAAATGTATATATGTTGATATCTATCTATATATATTAATATATATATATATATATATATATATATATATATATATATATATATATATATATATAATATATAGTATATATATATAATATATATATATATATAT